AAAAATATGTATTTTTAAATAAATTTAACGGAATAACTAATAAAAGGATAAAAAATATGTATTTTTAAAAATTAAAAAAAAAAAAGACAAATTATGCAGAACCTCAAAGTTGAAAAACTAGAATTAACATTTAACTTATATTATTCTAAGAACAAGGAAAGTGGTAGAGAAAAAAAAAATGAAGAAAAAAAAAAAAGGACAAGGGGAAAGTGATTCTTACTAACTAAAAATGTGTTTCTAAACAAATCAGGGACGGCAACTGCACCCATGAGGTTCTTGCAAATTTTCGCTGGGATCTTCTGCCTCCGCAATCTATATCACAACATGAATTTAACTATTTTTACTTTATTATTTTAAAATAAATTGTTTTAAAAAAATTAGATTAAGGCCAAAAAATATATTAGGTTGGGTTTGATTTAAAGTGATTAAATTTTAGTAGTTATGAGATTGAATGAGTCAATCACACAATATCAATGACAACAGTGAAGTGAATTGTACAAGACCTCTACACAAACGGGTGCTGTGCGTCTGATCCGACACCGACTATGGCTATTCCCCTCACTAATCGCCAACATGCATCGAAGGCCATCCTTAATATTTAATTTGAATGAACGAAAGTCATTTTTTTTTTTAAAAGGTTAGGGTGCCTTGGAGCATGTTAAGTGCACCTCTGCCTTCGTTCGTCGAATTCTAGTTGGGGAATGAAGATTATAGATGGAGTTGATGCTATATTTATTAAAATCGGTTTTCGATTGTAATTTTTCCTATTCTCTATGGATTTGAGTTTATCTCCGGAGCTCGGAGTTTTGAGTAACCATGTAATTTGAATATATATCATTATTTAAATTTTATTCTTTGATTGAAACCTATTAACACTCTGAGATTTTGTGAAAATTTTGTGAATTTTATATTATTTCTATCTCAAAATCAATGTATTTTAAGTATTGAGTCATTAAGAGTGAGAATTGATTAAATTTTGTTTTTTATTTTGCAAAATTTGTCTTTATGTCTAATTACTTTATCCCAAACAGAAATATGGATCAAAATTCTAGACTGAGGTTGAGAATCTATCTTTGTCAACCCAGTAATCATTTTTCGTTTTTTTGTTCCATCTTAGATTGTGGTAAAGTTTTTGAGGCCACATTGATGTTCTACGCATTTCTTCTGAGTAACGTTTAATCTCTTGTTAATAGCGTCATGGTAACACTGAGGAGGAGGAAAGTGATTATGAAGATGAGGTTGAAATTGTTAGCAAGTTGGGACCAGCCAACCAGGTGTATTTTCTTCCACGATGTTGAGCGTACGAGGCTACGAGTGTTGGCATTCCAATTGACTGAGAAGCTTCTAGCTCTTGTTAAACGTAATGAGAGGGCAGTAAAGGCAAGGATTGGTGGTGGTGGAGGATTAAATCTACCCATTAGGCAGGAGAAAACCAGTATCATGCGGCTGGTATAGCTTCTGCTGGTGGTAGGTGGCAAGTACATGTCTTTCCCTCAGGGAAAGCAAGGTAGAAGTGGGCGCATAGGATATGGTGCTTGTGGTGCAAGAACAGTGGCTTTTGATCAAGTTGCTGGAGGGGGCTATCGGTCCAATCAGTCGCGAGAAGCAGGTAGATATTTCAGGAGGATTGCTTCATCGATTAAAGGTTCCTAGATAGATGCTTCAAGCCAGATTGTCAGTCTTAACCCTGCGGTGCGTGCTTAAATAATCGGCAAATGCTTAGTTTCAGCACTTATCTTAGATTTATAAATTTTAACTTATTATTTTATATTATGATATTTTTAGTTCTTCATCTATTAAAATTAAAGAAAATAATCCTCATTTATAACATTTTATTAGTTTTATTGACTGATTATTAACTCTATTAGTTGAATATTAATTAATAAAAACCTACTTTTAACTAATAAAGTTAACAGTCAACTAATAGAATAGTTCTGTTAATTGACTGTTAACTGATAAAAATTTACTTTCAGCTAATAAAATTAACAATCAACTAACAGAATTAACAATCTGTTAACAAAACTAACGAAATATTATAAAGTGAGAGCTATTTTTTTCAATTCTAATAAGTGAGGGCTAAGTGTCATAATATAAGGTGAGAGGTTAAAACTTATAAACCTAGTAAAGTAAAGGGTTGAAAGTAAGTATTTGCCTAAATAATCATGCTAGCAAATGATCGGAGAAGGTGACTAATTGTTAGAGAATTTTGGCTTTGTTTCTGAAATTGTAGTAGACCAGACCTTATGGTTTGTCTTTGGAATGCTTCTCATCTATTTATTTGATCTCCAGAATTTTGGAATGTAGTCCTTTCAGTAAGGGATACTGAACTCTGCCACCATTTCTCTGAACCATCCTTCTTCAGTGCTTTTGTTTGTTCCATCATTTTTCTGAATGCCAAGCTTTTTCTTCAACATCCCTGACTGCGGTTTCTATTGCATCTTCATTTGCTTGTTTTGCAAGACTGACGTTTAAAGATCAAAAGCTAAGCACCACGAACTTCAGGGAAAAAAAAAAAAGAAAAAAGAAAAAAAGGCATTATATGTATGCACCCCACATCAAATAGCAATTTTCTTAACTATGAACTCAGAAAAATTATAGACACCCAGAAGAATTCTGTTGCATAACAAAGTGAACATAAAATTAAAGTTCACTTACAATTAACCATAAAACATAGATAATTAAAAACAAAGACTCATCTGGACCTACTCAAGCATGACAGAGTGACCTTAAGAGTTGCTGCAGTAGGAGTAGCAACAAAGACAAACATAAAACAAAGACTCATCTAGACCTACTCAATCTTCTTTTTCCCAAAGCAGAATGCTTTTATTCTGCCTGCCAAGGATCTTTTCTCACTGAAGATTGATGATCTGTTTGTCAAAACAAAAAATCTGAAGAAGTAGAGGAAACTGCAACCATGCAAAGAAGCTTACTGGAATGCCCGCAATCAACACAGATGGAATTTCAAGACCAACCCTGTCCTTAAAACCTGTAAATTTGAGGAACATGCTAAACCTAACATTACCAGATAATTCTATTGGGAATCTAAGTTGACTGACAGCTGGTACCCATAATTCAACTAAGAGATGGAATTACCTTCTTTCGTTTGCAAAGAGAAAACTTAGTATGTTTCAAGCAAGATTTTCCTGAAAGTCTTCAAAAGCAAGGGTATTGAAGTTATTTAACAGGAGCAGAAGAGGGTTAGAGAACTTGTATCGAAGAGAGATGCAGAAGTTATTGGTTTCACCAATTGGTTGAATTTATATTACCAAATTTCTCTTTTATCTTTCTCTTTTATAGTAATATGAATAAATTGTTCCCAAATTCTTAATCAAGATGAGAAAAATCATTCTTGATCGAAAGCCTTTGGTTCGACAAATACAGGCGCAAGATGATAAGATTTGTGTTTGAATCCACTGCGCTGGTGGCGCTAAAGCACAAGGCTAGAAGCAAAACCGTAAAGAGACCCCCTGCACCACGGTTGTAGCACTGAGCGCTTTCAGCTGGAAATCTGCGGTTGCAGCTTCCAAATTGTTTGATCTCGTCTGGAAATCCTAAGAACCTCTCTGTTACTCAAAGCAATGAAATTGAAGGACAAGACAAACCCACGTTTAGCAGATAATTAAATACCATGGGCAATTTATTTTGCTAGAACTATCATTTAGCTGAGAAAGAGATATGGGATTACCGGAGTTAGTTCGTTTACAGAAAGAAATTAACAATGCTAACTGTCAATGGCTTGGAAGTCATATTTGATAGGCTACATTTACAACCAGAAGTGGCCATGTTATCCGGGTGGCCGGGGCTCAAAAAACCTATTACCAGTTCCATCATGGGCTGAAGGAGTTCCACGCATCCTCACCACCCAAATCTCCGTCTCAGCTTTCTTTGGAAGAATGCTTGTTATGATACCAACGATACTCATTGTGAAGTTCTGTAGCAAGGCTCTAGCCAAGTGGATTCTTCCAATCGTATCAAACACACAGGGTATCCCAATAAGATCAACCACCTACACCCCTATGCTTGAGGGATCAGTTACTGGGAAGAAGTCAAATGAGATCAAACAATTCTTTTTTTCTCACCATGACTCATTTGATGTAGATACTGGTATATGATTCCTCCAATATGCAGGCCTCACATGGTCAGTGGTAGATCTCCTTCCACCTCTATTCACTCACCTCTCACCCGAGGTTGTTGTTCTTGTTGATTCTTGTAGATCACTAGCATACTATAGCAAAAATGTTATAGTTATAATACAATAAGGCATCATAAGTTTACAATGCCATTATATAATTAGTTTATTTCATTTGAGAATCTACTCTAATACTGCATATATCTATTTATTTAATATCATATTATAATTATAAACTTATAATCATGTATAATATTATATCTATAGCTGTACTAATAAAGGGTTGTTGATTTTCAGGGCGCTATATCCATTTTGTTAATCTCATTTCTGTGAAGGACCGACCAATTTTTATGTCACCGAACTGAGAATTTGTGTCACGGGTTTTGTATGCGGTTTATGTTTGTTGGCGAAATATCCGGGAACAAAAGAAATGCGAGCAGGGACTCAATTGAATAAAACAAAGAAAATAATAATAATAATAATAATAATCAAGGACCAAATCAACTAAACAAAAACAGTTAATTAGAACCAGCATTGCTGAGATATATTGGGGCTGCAAAAAGGAAAACCAACACATAGTGTTGAATTTTTCGGCTCCGGCACAGATCCAAAAAGGAAGGGATAAACAGAGATAAAGAAGAATATCTACACAAATAATACATTCCCACATTGTAAGTCTCGTCTCAGCTACACAATTTCTCTGACAGTCGGTTAAGACAGATTAAAGGCCATTTTCTTAGCCTATTATACACGCTTGTTGCGGATAGTTACCAAAATCATGCCACAAAAAAACTATAGTTGAAGATACCAAATGTGACAGATATCTTCTAAGATCGATCCACAACCACCTGATCACCTAGAAAGGGGGAAGAGGGGGAATAGACCAACTGGAGTCATCGTGATGTAAAGACAACTGCTTCAAAGGAAGTAATCTGGTGTCCTACGTGTGACATCTGGTTCTCCTCTTCTTGGGGCTGGTTCAAACTGTAGCACATTGAACTCAATGTCATACACAAGAATATAATCCATCCAAATGCTGCATGCGCATGTGTAGAAAAGGAATATGGAAGGAAGGCAAGGAGGAGAGAATCAGATAGAGACCTGAATGAATGTGTGGCCTTTGCAATCATCAACTTCCAAGATGGAAGCCATGTTTCCACAGCGATAGCAATAATTGGGGGCACTAAATATTGTAACCACTTTTTGCTCCTGTCCCGGGGAAATAAGTGTTAAAGAAAGAGAAAAAGGCAAAATATTGAAGTCATTGTTAAAAAAATTTGTCATTTTGAAGAATCATAATTACATGTGCCCAGTTAAATCCCTCCATAACCAGCTGATGAGCTCTAGCAATCAACTTCAGGTTGTTTTTGTGATGGAATTGTTCAGATATATCCTGCAGGGACAAAAATGCATCAAGTTTTGACAAGGAAATTGCATGGCATACATGCAGGAAAAAAAAAATTTAAGGCCACACTCCTTTTTAATAAAAGTTACCTGACCAAAAGTATATCCAGCTCCACGAGGTGAAATACCCCAACCACATCTGTCATCAGGGTCAGACCATAATAAATCACACATTGGGCCCTCATGAGGAACCTCTTGGACACGATCAAAGTTCCTTACGTTTTCAAGGGTTTCAATTGAAGGGGACAACCCACCATGCAGACAAAATATTTCTGACTCAACCTATAAAGAAGAAAAGAGCATCAGTTATTTGAGAAGGACAACATTCTTCAACTACAATCACCTTTAACATTGGCTCTGCAGGCACATGGTTATGATGAGTAATATGTGAAAATACGAAGTATTACTCTTTACTAACCAAAGCAGTCAATGGAAAATAGTCAAAAAGGTCTGTAAAGATCTTCCAAACGTTTGCATTGCCATACCTGTAAGAAGAAAGTATCATCATGGATTTGCATGAAGCATGGGTAACAGATGTTCCACAATAGTAGAGAGTTATACCAAATGTTCAACTCAGACATGCCCCTAGGAACTAAGTTTGACATGTGAATTTCATCAAAGCCATTATAGAGTCACTATGTATTTTGTTAGCAGAAGAGGGGAAATAACTGGCCTGAACTGTTACAAAAACACAGATTTCAATAAAACTTTCATCAAGTATGTTAAATCTTTTAACAATAGACTGACAGTGCATGAAGGACTGCATGTCACAAGCAAAAAAAAAAAGAACAAAGTATAGAGTGCCTTCTGCCTAAACAGAAGCTTTTCTCTGGAATAGTAACATTTATATGCCATATTTCAGCCCAAAGGGACCATTGAGAAAGCTAATGCACTAGAAGATGGAGAGGAGTACATAAATCAGTAGATATAATATATAGCCACTCAATTATGATCTCCTAAACCAAATTTGTGTAAAGAAAACTCACTTTCGCAGACACTCATCATAAAACCCATAAACCTGAGTAATCTGCCAAAAAGAGAAAGAATGAAAATAATTAGCACTACATTCAGCACAGTCGTCAATGGTTCAGAGTTAATAGGAAAAGCAATATTAAAAAAGGTTTTTTTTTTTTTATTTTTTTTTTATTGTTTTCTTCCACTTTGGGGTGGGGTGGGGTGTAATGGGAATGACAGATACCTGGCGGCTCTCATGGTTTCCTCTGAGAATGGTAATCCGCTGAGGATAACGAACTTTTAGGGCAACCAACAACTATAGGAACAAACAAATAGTGTCACAAAAAAGAGAGAATGTTCTTGAATTCCCCC